GAATTATATATTACCTACTGCAGAATTAATTTGGGGAAAAAAAGTTAACAAATAAAGAAAATAAAAGCTAAAAGCTAATTAAAAAGTGAATAAGCCTAGTTAACAAATATATTTAGGTTTCTAAACTAAAAAACGTAAGTGACTGTATCAGCATTAATGCCTCTAAGGTTATGTTGTTATAAAAAAGTAGTTTCTTTCACTCTCAGAGTGTTTTTAATGAATTTCTAATAGAAGCACTTTTGTTATCTTTAAGACATTTCTTGACATTCATTTTTTTTTTTTTGCCATCAAAATATCCATATTTTTTGAATGTTACAAAGGTAATAAGATCTTATCCTGGAGTCCAATAACACTGTTGGCTTGAAATTCTGAATTTCTCAAAGTATTTCACTTAGTGCCCTATAAATCCAAGCATTAACACAAGCAAAATGTAGTATTTTTCAGATGTTTGTTAATTCTGACCCTGCATAAAGTTTTTTTTTAAACTTTAATTAAATGTGATAACTGGATTAACTTTTGACTCAACAGCTCAGACTGAGATAAAAACAGGGGAATTCACAGTGAACTGCTGTCACCTCTCTGTGGTGGTGGTGGTGGTGGTGTGTGTGTGTGTGTGTGTGTGTGGGGGGGGGGTTATTTAGTGAAAGATGTCTAAACCCCATAATTAAGCAGCCACACCAACAAAGCAGGACAGTACCTCCTGCAGCCTTTAGGTGGCGCATTAAGCCACATTTATTTTTGCATGCCGCTCAATGAACCTGATGTCCTCCCTCATCACATCATTGCCACTGACCGTGGGTTCATCCTCCCACAGAGAAAGTGCAGACTCTGTCTCTGTGGGATTTGTCTCAGAGTGTAAAGCGGGTCCTCACCGGTCGTTACCATAAGACAGACCACCAACAGGGCTGTTATGATGTGCAGGGTACATGTCAATTAGAGCATGCATGAATCCCAAAGGAGCAAACAAGCTTTTTATTTACATGTGTGAACACTCACTGGGGTGGAGGGGAGCACTTTGTGTCAATTTACACATAGTTGAGATTTCTCGCTGATTAGGAATCCGATTTAAAGCATGAAGGTTTATTTCAATGGATCAGCTGCAGAGTCTCATGTGAAAGATCACATTCAGTTCAGTGTGTACATCTATTTAAAGTCAGGGATATATTTTAATGTATGTGGCTCCGGTTACAGAGGCTGATCTCTCTCTCATTGGCTGATCCTGTCACATATGTGCTGATGAAGCCCGGTCTGTTATGTAACCAGCCTCTTTCTGCAGAAGTCTGCAGCTCAGACTGGTTTATCTGTTTCTATCCATTAAAGTGAACATAGTAGTGATATAAGGTCAGCTGATCTCAGCTCAACGTAGCACAGGGAAAGAAAACATGGAGTCTAACTGAAAAGATGCATGCTGCCGGTTTAAAGGCCCTGATTGGAGTCAGACTCTGGAGCAAAGTAACACTTAGATGTAAAAGCACCGTCATTCATAGATTTGTCTGCCACATTGTGAGTGGCATTCTTTATGACGACACTAACAAAAAGGCTCCACCTCAGTCCTGTTTGCAAAATTCAAGTCAAACTTTAAGACTGCGCAGAACAAGACTGATCTAACTTAATTATAAATATGTAACTAAAATTCCAAAAAGATTTTGTCAATTCAATAGTATCTCCGTCCAACATTGTTTTTTAGAATAGAATTTATAACAGGAACATTTTCAGGCTACTTTGCTCAAATGTATTATAATTATTAACAAAATAAAAAATAAAAATAAAAGAAACATCCAATAAAATATCGAAGTTTTTCCCAGAGTTTGACTGAAAACCTCTTGTTCTGCAGAAAACCAAATACTGAATGTAAGTTTACTTTACTAAAGGTTAAAAAAGGGTTTAAACTGTGATAATTTGTATGTTTATAAGGCTCAGCTGAGAAATAATGTTAATATAGAGATGGTAGGTATTGAAATTCACTATTTCATAAAAAAAAAAGAAAAAGTTACAATACTGAATAATGTATGTAGGGGGAAAAAAATCCTTTCTCATTTTTTCTCTTGTATATTTTTCTTTTCTTTATAGTCACAGGTAATGAAATACTGTCAGGCATGTAAACTCGCTGCTCTGACCTTTCATGTTATCCTCATTAATTGTTTTTTAATATGCATTATTTGTTTCTTTCTTTTACTGAAAAATTGAAAAGGTAAATCAAAACAAAATATGTTTACTTTATAAGACATCAAGTTTTCTACAGTTGCTAAAATTTCTCTTATCCATAAATCTGTACAGAGGCTGGTGCCTATCTCCAGCAGCCACTGAGGGAGAGGCTGGTTTCTCTTTATCCTGTGACCCTACAGGTCACTGGGTAACATGGAGACACTGAAGAAAACACTCAGACATCAGGACAACTTTAAGGAAACCAATCAATCAAACATTGATTGAAATGCTTGGTCATTTGGGAGGAAGATGTGGAGAAAATTCACATATGCATGTGGAGAAGATGGATTCTGCATGCAGAAAGACTGCAGGTCCACATTACAAGTGATGACAGCAATGCAACACTGCAAAATCTGATTTAAAAAAAAAACTAAGCAAAATGTCTTATAAATAAGCTGGTTTTCACTTAATTTGAGCAAATATATATGACGATCCGTCAATGGAAAGAGTATTGGTTCCCTTAATATAAGTTGGTTAGATATTAGGGAACTGAAATAAGATAGTTTAATTTTTTATCTTTTATTTTACTTGTTTTACTTGTTGTTTCAGTTTGCAAAATGACTTATCTGTTCTTTTTTATAACCAATTTGTTTTTTTTTTTAATATCCTTAACATTTATATATAATGTTATTTTTACTTGCAAAACCTGCACATAGATACCTCCTTAATTCACTACCTTTGTACCCAGTCTGTGTGTCACTGAGGGCTGCGCTGACTGTATATTATATATATATAAAATGCTGCTATAATAAAAAATTTAATTCATACTGTTGTTATAATCTTTATTATAGCAGCATTATATATGTATAATTAACATATACACACACATATATATATATATAAATATATATATACACACACAAAAACAAGAGTAAAGCGTTTACCATCCCAATAATAGTGAGTAATCGACAAACAAATAGTAGAAAACCGTGAACTGGAATGGTTTCATCCGTATTTTAGTGATTCTACGAAACTTACTTTAAAGTTTGTGCATTTAGCCACTCATAATATGGCGGCGGCGCTGACGTACAGCCAGAGGTGGACAGTAAAGCCAGCGCGGCGTCTGTTCTTTTCTGACCCACATAGAACGAACTGCATGACCCGACCGGCTTCCTCACGGCTTCACCCCACGTGTTCTCATTTTGGCGCCACGACTTTCCTAGAAATGGAGTGTAAGAGGTATCCCTCCGCGGGTAGACCCCCTCTTCATGGACCTTTTTACCTTCTTCGCTCAAAGTTCCGGTTTCTCCGCCTGGACTTTATCAACAAACGGAACCGCGGCGGATATTTAGGCGATACTGCGGTTTACCGATAACCAAGTTTAGCTGGTTTGTAAGTTTTCGCGGGTTTTTCAGCGACGGTGGAAGGATACTGGAGTAGAACTACATAATGCAGCATACCAGCCACACCCACTCTGTTGGTCTGCTGCAGCGTGGGGTGAGAAGCACACTTTGAGTGGACCGGACAGGTCAGGACGGATCTGAAGGGGACTTCCACACCATGCTGCCTTCTTCCAGCTTTCATTTCACACGCAGAAAGTTTCCCCCCGGCACGAGCATTTAGACACTCCGCGTGGATTTTATTGGAATACTTTCCATTTTCTTCAGTGATTTTTTTTTTTTTTCTTTCTCCACGGTAAGATTCTGCATTTAATTTCAGTTTTATTTTATTTTTTACAAACATTTAAAACGCGCTGCGTGTTGCAAATCCCGGGTGAAACGCGTGGGCGCACACTTGCGTGGACACCGGCTCCCCCACTACGCTTCACCCGCAGCTAAAAGCCGGTTTTCACGTGTTGCTCCACAGCGGCGCGACCCACGTCAGCATTTAAATGTCCCACTGGAGAAGCGCTCCACGGGTTCATTCAAACACGAGTGGGTATTTTTGCACGTTAGTGACCGAAAGTCTGCAAGTTCTGTTCTATACAGAAATAAAGTACATTTATATTTTTATTTTAAACTTAAAAAAAATAAAAAAAATTTCAACAGCTGTTTTTGTTCAACTTTTTTTTTTTTTAAGTTTTGCATTAATGTTAGAAAATATTTTAAAGAAGACAAACGTTTTAGTTCGAATAAAAGTTTTTTTTTTTTTTTTTTTTTTTTCCGTGGGTTCTGGTTCCACGGGCTGTGATGATGCAGACCTGCCGGCTGTAGTGCAGCAAAGGGCCGCTTTGTTCTGCAGGAACCCCCCCTCCCAGGATGAATCGGGCCGGTCTGGGTCTAAGCTGCGGGGTTTCACCGGCCCACGCTGCGTGGTTCCGTCACGCGCCGGTTCCTCCAGCTGGAGGGAGGGGGGGCGGTTATGATTGTAAAACTTCTGTATGCGTTAAAAAAAAAAAAACTTTTTTTTTGTTGTTTTTACTCCAAGCTCTTTGTGACGTCACGGTTTCCAGGGGCTGGAAAGCGTAAAAGGGGCGGGGCCAGTGTGATGTAAACACGTATAAATGAGCCGCTGCAGCCGTGGGGGGTTCAGAGGGAGAAGCCGGTCTGAACTTTCACTACAACCAACCTGCTGCTTGTGATCGGCTCTCTGCTGCTCACACTACGCCGCTGCCGCTGCTGCTGGATCTGATTTTTATTTTCTACCTCCTGAATTTATTCAGTTTTTTTTTTCTGGATTTCTTTTCTCAGGCTTTTGGATCAAACATGTTGACCAGTTTCTCCCAGTCGCCGGACTGGCTGAGCTCCGAGCCCTTCATGTTTGAGGACGTGCAAAACTTGATGAAGGAGCTGGACTACCTTCCGACGCCCCCCCAGTCCCCCCCCATGAAGGCCGGCCAGGGGGCCGGGAAGCCGCTGTCCAAGGAGGACCAGCTGAGCTATGTGTCGGACATCCTGCTGGAGGACCAGGACCTCCAGCTCCTCAACTGGACCTGCGACTTCTTCAACTCGGACTCTGCAGAGAAGGAGGGCGACTCCTGCCTGCCGTGCTCCCCCCTGGACGAGGCCACCGAGGACACCCTGTGGCAGTGCCTGTCTGACAGGAACCTGGAGGAGAAGCTGGTTTCGACGGTGCTGGGCTCCAGCCCGCTGCTCTCAGACATAGACACCAGCATCTTTGAGGACATTGTGGGCTCCACTCTGAACTGCCAGGACCTGATCGGCGCTCAGGAGCAGCAGAGCGAGGCCACCTCAGACTATGGGTCCGCCGGCGGGGAGATGTCCATGTCTTCATCCAGTGATTCTGGTGAGTAAAAGTTACCTGCTGGACTCTGATCTCTAATAGCTCAGATAATCAGGTCAGACTGTAATCTGGTTGGAATTGGCGGCGGATCACTTGATTGATGATTCATTAATGTTTAGAGGCTCTCAGCGAGGCGCTCTTTGCTCTCTGCTAATCTGCTCGCTGCCCACCCACTCCTGTAATCTGGATTGCTCTGAACTGTGTGGCTGCTGATTAGAGTGAGTGATTATCAGGGAGATGATTGCACGAGGCACGGTTCTGCTCTCCAGTCTGTAGGTGTCGCCCCTGCAGGACTTGTAACAAGTTAAAGGGAAGCTGGATGATGTGGATTTAAAGATGGAGGAGGCGTTTAAGTTTAGTTCAGAATATTAAGCTGCATTAATAAGCATGGACCTAACCTTTCTGTTTTCTCTTTGCAGAAGAAGAAATCGACGTTGTGTCTGTGGGGTCCTCCAGCCCGTCCCCTCTGCCCGAGCCCTCCGCCCGCAAGCTGAACCCGGAGGAGGAGCAGCGAGCCATCCAGCTGCAGCACAACTACGCCGCCCCCTGCCCGGCGTCGCCGCCGCCCTCATCGACGTACTCCCACAAGCGTTCCAGAGGGAGCGACGGTTCCTCTCGCTTCCACCACGCCACCCGCAGCTTCACCTCGCACTCCTCCCTGTCGCGGTACCACTGCTCCTCCAGGAGCTCGACTGAGACGGAGGACGAGGAGGAGCGGCGGCGAACCCACAACGTGATGGAGCGGCAGAGGCGCAACGAGCTGAAGAACTGCTTCATGCGGCTGCGGGACAACGTGCCCGAGCTGTCGCACAACGACAAGGCGTCCAAGGTGGTGATCCTGAAGAAGGCCAGGGACTGCATCTGCGGCCTGGAGAGCGAGAGCCACAGGCTGCGAGCCAGGAAGGACAAGCTGAGAGCGAGGCAGGAGGAGCTGAAAGCCCGGCTGGCGCAGCTGCGGCGGTAATGGACCACCAGGGGGGGCGGGGACTATAGACTGAAGCCCCACCAGCCTCTGGAGCACAGACACTCAGAACACACTCGTTGCCTCAGAAGCCATCCTTTATGCCTGGACTGCTGACTGTTGGAAGCCCAAACTTCCCGATCGATCCGGTTTTCCCAATAAACTTGAAATGGTTCTTTCAGGACGTCTTCCATTGCTGGAGGTGTCCAGCTCAGCCGGGACGTGGACTGAACATGTGGTTCAGATGGACTAGGTCCTAATTCCTGATGGTTCTGATGATCCACATAGTTCTCATTAACTGATTTTAAAGCGTTTGCATCAGCAGAACCATCAGGCTTAAACTTCTACAAAGATCAGAACTGAGATCAGCTGTAGATTCTGGAGACGTTCCTTTACTGACAGGAATGGTTCTGGTTCAGTTTGTCACGTTTCCTTTTTTAATATTTCAAACCAGTTGCCTTCTTTGTGTCGTTGTGGTTCGGTTCTGCAGAAGGCAGGGATTCTTTTCTTTCTACATAAACGTTCACAAACCTACCTCCACCTGGCTGCAGTCTTTTTCTGTTGTACATTTGTAAATGTTTATTGTATAATAAATTATTTTGGTAGTTTTTTTTTTGTTTGTTTGCTATGGAATTTGGAAATGAAGCACCTTTTTAAAAAAAAAAAAAAAAATTAAGGAAATAAAATGAAACTTTAGATTTGGAAAGTCTTTGAGTTTTCTTATTGAAAGCAGCTGCTTATGAAGTCCATCTCTGGGGGGGGCGACTTGGGCTAAATGTTCAGATTTCTGTGGTTATGAGCAAATTCCTCATTTTATATAAAAGCTAAATCCTTACTGCCAGTTTCTGCTGCATTTAACGTTTGTCAGAGCGCACCTGCACCGTTCAGGTGTGTTTATGAAAACCTGTAAAAAGCAGCAGCTCATCCAGGATCTGCTCCAATTAAAGGGAAATACTGAAGCAGGCTCCTGGTCCATCCAGGAACTTTGGGCGTACAGAGAAGCAACAAGCATCTTGCAGGCCTCTGGCATGCAAGGCTCCCTGGTTTTGGTTTGGAATGGCTGAAGGACAAAACCAGTAAAGCTAGAGAAGTTTTCAACTGGTGTGACGCTGCATTTAGGTGAAACTGCACAGGAAGCAGTTTCACCAAAAAAAAAAGTTTTAATGTAGCAAAATTTTAGTACAATTTGCAAATCAGATGTTCAAGATGTTGAATCTCAAAGGCATGATATCCTTTTACGAAATAAAAATTCCTCATGTTAACCTTCTAACCAGGAGCAGTCTACATTAGACAGTTTGACTGTTAATCCTTTAAAGCCAATTGTATCATATTCAGTACAGGGTGTTTTTAAGACCTCTACATCAGTGTTGTTAAACCCTGACTTGCAAAATAAGTCATGTATGGAACATGACATTTAAAAGATTATAGAGATATGCCTTATCAAATTTAATGCAAATACATTATCTATTAACTTGCACAAAATTTATTTTTGATGTCATTTCTCAGAAAGTAACTCCTCCAAACCACTCTTCCTATACAGAGGTTAAACGGGTCCATCTTCTGGTCTATCAAACTAGACCTATAAATGGTTCACACTGCAAACACTAAATGACCTTAAAGTGAGGGAAAAGTATTTCAACATCCTGCTATTATGCAGGTTCTCCCACTTATCAAGGAGGGATCTGAAATTGTCAATAGTTGCACGTTCAGTGTAACAGAAATAATCTAAAGAAAAAAATATCCCCATTTAAAATTATTTGTTGCAAATAAGTACCTGAAGTACCTCCGCTAGAAGTCTGCCATCAAAATCTCACCTCCACTTAATTTATCCTAAATTAGAATCACCTGTTTAATTCAATTCAATTCAGTTTATTTATATAGCGCCAAATTCACAACACATGTCATCTCAAGGCACTTTACAGTTCAACCAGATCATACAGTCGAATTGATACAAAGTTTTCTGCCTAAGGAAAACCAGTTGATTGCATTCAACTGTTTTTTCAATATCAAAAATA